GCTTCCATTCATCCTCGAGGCCGTCCGCGTGCCCAACCGCCGCGGCGATGGAGAACTCGGAGGAGGACTCAACTGGCAGCGCGGAGGAGAGCACCGAGCCACTGGCGGAGGTGCGGCCAGAGCCGCTGGCTGACGTCGGTGCCGCTTTGTTAGTGGACGACCGCGGGCGCTGCGTCGTGGGAGCGAGCGCGACGCAGGGGCCCTTCCTGTACGCCACATGCGGCTCTGCATAGGCCCGGACGACTTACATGCGGACCGCGTCCACGGCTGCCTTGCTCTGCCGCCTCTCGGAAGCCTTCCGTGCGCCGCCTCCAAGCTTCACCTGACGCCCGAGGAAGCCTCGCGGCTTTCCACCGCGGCCCCCGCAAGCACGGGCCGGGGGTCTCCTCCCCGCCGCCGTTCGGCAGTCACATGGCACGGCCGACCGCACGGCAACACGCGCCTGGTTAACGCCGCGATCTCCGTGCCGACAATAATTCCACAACGGAACCGCCGCCAGCTTCTCCCGGCAACGCGGGGACGAGACGCCGGCGCTGCGACGTGGCGGTGCACTCTTTCCGTCACGGCACCATGACACCAGAAACCGAAAGGGTGGGCAGGGGGAAGAACAGAAAGGTAGGGTGTGGAAATGATCGTTGTGGCGGCGTGGTAGAAAAACTCAGGCAGTAATAGAGCGATAAAACGTTTTTTTTTTTTTGTGCGTGTATGTGTGTGCAAGAAGCCTTTTTCGTGATTTGATTGCTCGTTCTTGGTTCTCGTTGACGCTGCTGGTGTTTCTTCATTCTTTTTATTCCCTTCTGGCGTAAATTTCGCGCGCCGGGAAGGGAAGTGGGGCGCGGTTGTAGCGGTGGTACGGCACCGCGTCGTACCCAACGTAGCCGTCATCGGACTTGCCTTGTATCTTCGTTGTGTTGCCGGGGTACGCGCGCACCAAGCCCCACACGTGCCGCGTGAAGAGGTGCTGCAAATGGTACTCCTGGTACTGAATGCGGCGGTACCACGTCGTCAGCTGTGCCGTGCGGGACCGCTTGTAACCGGTGGTGTCGCCTATACGTATGGGCGGTTTGCACATGTGGAAGCGGTACAAGTCCTTCTGGATCACCGCCGTGCGGCGCAGCGGAAGTTGATCGACCCCCAGGGTAAAATACATGAGCTTCTGCCGCACCATGCGCTCCGGATCCGCCCACCACTTCGGCCCAGTGCGAATCACTGAAATCGGTGGTGTCGCCACCGACTTTGTGAGGAACGTGTTGCGGCAGGCGCGTGTCGTGCCCAACATCTCCTCCCCCGCCTTTCCGCCTCTGCAACCTCAATCAATCCTCTTGTCGCTCTTCCCTAAAACAGCGTATAAACGAGGAAAAAAAAGCCTCTCCACGCGGTGCCTCTCCGGCCCCTGCAGTGCGATAAAACCGCACACGCTTACGCGATGGGGATGCTGCCCCCCCCCCCCCCAATACAAAAAACGCGCGAAAAACATCAAGGGGAAAAATAAGAAAAATAAAAGACCACAGTTTGGAAGAAATAAGCACATGGGCGCGGTGCTGCACGCATCGCCGTCAGGACAGCGCCGAGACGTTTCCCTCTCCTCCCGTCTTCCTTCCTCTTCCTTCACTTACCTGGGAGACCGCCCCGAACTTTGGCTCATGGAATCCCCGCTTCTCTCCCACCAGTCGTCCAAGCCGCTCAATGAGCTGTCGCGAGAGTCACCGGTTCTACCGCGGGCGCGGTAGCGGCGCATTTGTCGTTCTCGTCTCCGCTGCAGGCAAATACGCCATTCTTCCGCCTCATCCAGCGTGCGGGGCCCACCAGTTGAGTCGTCATCATCCTGACAAGGCCCCTTGCCGCTGCGCCAAAACTCGCCGTGTTGCAACTGCACGCGCCGCCACTCGTACAGCATGCCTTCTTCCGTCACCGCCGCAAGAAGCCTCATATCGGGCGACCACGCCAAACTGCGTGGGACACCGCCGCACGGCACCGGCAGAGTTGCCATGATGCTCCATTGAACCGGCTTGGAGGTAGTGAGACAATTTCTCTTCACAGTTTCCTCCTCCATAGCCAATGGGCGTGCTGGGGTGCAGGCGATAATGTGAACAAACCCTTCGCCGCAGGTACACGAGATTGTAGGGCAGCGTACATTGTCCGCACAAAAAGAAGTGCCTACCCACATTTGGCGGATACGGCATGCGCCTGTCACCATTAACATAGGGATCAGCTTGTATTCCCGAGAAGTGGATTTGCTTGATTGAACGGAAAGTATTACCAATCGATCCCGCGGAAATGAGGCGAGCAACATCACGGCATAAGCCGATCGGGCTGAAATTTTAGCACCTGTTTGGACAGCCAGCTTATTTCCTTTATTGCGTGGCCATCCTGCTCCAAGTGCAGCCGCCGCCCACTTTTTGACGGTGCTTCTCTCAGGAAGTTCCTGGCCCGTCTGCTGGGCACGTAAAAGGCAATGAAGCTGTTGGTGATTCATTGAACTTACCACCAATGACGCCACGGGTGCCCCCTTCTCTACAACGCACCCCGCTATTTTCTCAAATTGCGGCTGACCCTCAACTACTGCGGCAGGCATGAGCTCATGCCGCCGTTCATGTTCGATGCGCGCTCTAATGGCGGACTGTTCGACCGCCATGGCGGCCGTATGCAACAACGATGTTACCGGCGCTGCTGCTGCTGCCGCAGCTGGCGGTGGCGTGGAGGAAGAAGTAGCTTCTGGCGGCGATGGCTGAGAACTCTTGTTTGGCTGCCCTCGCTGCCTTGCTTCCTTTGCGTCCTCGGTCACGACGGAGGGGCATGCCACAGCGTCAACGCGGCTCACGCGATACCGCCAAACGGTGATGGCCCCGTGCGCGTCGCCCAAAAAGAGAAAGGGGTCGGCGCAGGGCTCCATTGCCAACGCGGTAGCCTCCACACGTATGAGCTGCCCCTTGCGCGTCACGGGAAACCCGGTGGAGCTGTTGTATAGTCGAAGCAGATGATGCTGCGGGAGCGAGACGAGGAGATAGTTGTTGTTCTTCGGCATAAATCGAACCGCGGCAGGCACGACACCATCGGTGTTGATGCGACGCACTTTGGTCGGCGTTCGCTGGCTCCACAATATAACGCAGGCGTCCGCCCCCGCCGAAGCAAAGCATGTGCCCACGTCATCAAAGGCGATATCCGTCACGGCACCGCTGTGGCCCTGAAGCAGAAGCGGCGCCGCAGCGGTGGTTGCGATGGCACCGCCCGGGTTGAGAGTTACCTGCACAAACCACAGCTTGCCCCGCTCCGTGCCCACAATATAAGAATCCCCCTCCGGGGAGAAACACACCCGCGTGCACCCATCCCCTCCAGCAGCATCCACAGCAACCTTATGCCTGTCACTCTCACGATTCTTGTCTGTGGCCACAGGCAACATGCTCAGGTCCACAATGCGCGCCTCAGGCGAGAAAAGGTACGACGTATACGGTGCCTCTTCGCCTGCACCAATTCTCTCAAACTCCATCTGTGCCGCGATCGCCGTGCTCTCGCTGCACGCACCGGCGACAGCAAGAACCGCAGATTGCGGCCGTGGAGAAGTCTCTAAAAAAGTTGCACGTGCTCCACCAAAAGTAATGGACGCAGACCCCCAGCGGCGATGAACAGTGCTGGAGGCATTGAGGGGAGACTCGTGCGCACGCGCCAATTCATGAATGTAGACATCATCAATAGAGACATGAGACATCGAATATGTGTCGTGTGAGGCGCTTCTGTCGCTGCGATCGCCCGTCAAGGTAAGGGCTGAGGAACTGCTCGTTCGTGCATGATCACCACTCTTTTCTTCTTGATGTCCTCATTGGCGTCATCAATATCGCCACACACGACGACTGCGGCTGCGGCGACAGGATTGCTTCGGAACCAACCCCGCTTCGGGGCGCGGTCCGCCCGCTTCTGCCGTCTCTCTCTGTCCTTCTCCACTGCATCCAGTCGCTGCTGCAGCGTTGGGAACTGCCAGCGAAGCCGTGGAAGCGGCAGCGCCTGCGCAACGGCAGACTTCTCTCGCTCATCTCTATCCACTGCCTCGCTATGTGTGTGACGCGTGTCTTCCTGCATCTTGTGCCCATCCAACTCAACCTTCTCACTGCTCCCATCCTCGAGGTCCACGGTGCGGAGGGAGTTGCTGTAGAAGCACGCGGTGCTCTCCCGCAGCGGCGACGGTGCCGTTGACCCGGCGGGCACTGTACTCTCCTGCTCAGCATGACCATCTGTGTTCGCCCGCCCGTGCAAAGCAAGCAGCAGTCGCACACGAAGGATGGCGGCGCGCAACTCCTCCTCGCAGTTTCCGCCTGTGACTTGTGGCGTCATCATCACCTACTACGCCCCGCCTCTCCAAGCAAAATAAAACGGCAGAAGGGAAATAATAAATAAATAAATAAACTACACAAAAGAATAAATGGACGCTGCTCCCTTTGGCATAAATATGTACAAAAACAGATGGTGAGAAACTGAGTATGGTAAGGCGAAAAGAGTGTATGACTAGAAATTACTTTGTGATAGAAGGAAATACATTATATGTGTGCCTATTACCGCGCACTGAGTTCGACACCGCCGGCAGGAATAATGTAGCTGGCAGCGCAGTCAGATAAACGAGATGGGAAGGGAAGTGCACAGAAGTTGCTAATTTTTATTTTTTTCCACCACACTCCAGTAATCTTCGTGCAGCTGCTTCAACCGCAAAAACCTGATCGTCTATCGCCTCCAGGGACCGCAGAGCTGCGGCAAGGTTGAAAAGGTACTCCGAGTTTGGGCCGCTATCCCCCGCAGCCTCCAATATCTGCGCCGCGATGCTCTCCTCCGTTGCGGGTCCCAAGTACTCACTGTTTTCCTCCGTCGCCAAGTAGCACAAGCACACCGTCCCTTGCGGAAGCGGCAGTGGGTCATGGGTGTGTAAGTCATGCAACGTCACCTCCACGCGCTTGTACCCGCCTCGCTCGCGGTGGTCAAGCTGGGCGAGAATTGCCGCCTGCTTGCTGGGCTCCGACGGCAGCTCATACGCAACGCCTGCCACCCAGGCCTCGGGCGCATCGCTTGGCAGCAGCGTCACCACGCGCCCGGGTTTGCCGGGCACCCCGCGGTGGTCAGTGCTGCCCTGATAGAACACGCGCCTGTAGCCGGGGATGCAGGACGGGAAGCTGCGGCTGTGCTCAAACTCTTGCTTCCACAGAATGGAGCCGTAGCCAAAAATTAGCGTGGGCGGCGGTTCAGATGACATGAATTCCCTCTTGTGATCCAATTCCTTCGTCCCTCGCAGTACAAAAGTGACTTCATGCATCAACGGAGAGAAAGAGGGAGACAAAGAAAGAAAG